AGTCTTGTTCTAAGCGAAATGAGCTCCTGTACTTTAAAGTTAGACGACGTACTGGCTGAACCACAGAGGAAGGAGGGGTGTTGCAGGCAGCTGGCAAGCACTGTGCAGCAGTGGGTGGGGGAGGGGCAGCAGGCCTTCAGTAGTGCTGAGGACGTGTCCTCCTGTCTCCAGTGGACATGGCGGTGTTCCGGGACCTGCTGCGGCTCAAGCTGCCCCGACTGTCTCAGCACCTTCATCACCTGCAGAAAGCAGCCAATCGGGAGGCAGGAGGTAAGCCATCATCGTCATCATCATGGGGGTCGACATGGTGAATGGGGATGAAGGAGCCTCCTGTTCTGCAGGCAGCTACGAGCCGCCGCTCACCAACGTCTTCACCATGCAGTGGTTCCTCACCATGTTCGCCACCTGCCTGCCGGCGCCGACCGTCCTCAAGATCTGGGACTCGGTGTTCTTCGAGGGATCCGAGGTTCTGTTCCGGGCGGCGCTGGCCATCTGGGAGCGACTGGGGGAGTGAGTAGAGAGGGGGAGTCAGGGGTCGGAGGTCGGGGGAGCCCAGCTGAAGCCTGTGTGTCTCGTCTCCAGGAGGATCGAGGACTGCCAGACGGCGGACGAGTTCTACAGCACCATGGGGGTCCTGACCCAGGAGATGCTGGAGCAGAACCTGCTGCACCCGGCGCAGCTCATGCAGGTAGTGGCAGCATGAGGAGGGGTGTGGCCTGCAGCCGAGGGCGTGGCCTGCAGCCGGGGGCGTGGCCTGCAGCCGGGGGCGTGGCCTGCAGCTGAGGCTCTGTTTGCTCTGCAGGACGTTTACTCCATGGCTCCGTTCCCGTTCCCCCAGCTGGCCGAGCTCAGAGAGAAATACACCTACAACATCACGCCGTTCCCCACCGCCGCCCAGGTCAACGCCCAGGTCAACGCCAGGTACCGTCTCCATGGAGACCACGTCTGTCAGCCGTTCCTTCCTGGTGTCCTTTTAGTCTTCCTCCATCCTGACCCGGTTCTGTCCTCCAGCAGCGGTCCGTCCGGTTGGGACAGTGAGGAAGACGCCGATGTGGACGATGATGAATCTGTGGCGGCGGCCCTGGGCTGCTTGGGGCCCCTGGGCGGCCTGCTGGCCCCTGAGCTGCAGAGATACCAGAAACATCTCAAAGGTTGGCATGGCAACCACAGACCGGTTCTGATCCGGTTACCACAGACAGACACAATCGGACCTGTCCTGAAAAGTTTTTCAGTCCCTTTCACCTTTACTCGTTAATTATTAACACTGCAAAAACAAAAATCATCTGACCGAGTATTACTGGTTTATTACTAGTTTACTGGTTTATTACTAGTTTACTGGTTTATTACTGGTTTATAACTGGTTTATTACTAGTTTACTGGTTTATTACTGGTTTATTACTGGTTTATTACTAGTTTACTGGTTTATTACTGGTTTATAACTGGTTTATTACTAGTTTACTGGTTTATTACTGGTTTATTACTGGTTTATTACTAGTTTACTGGTTTATTACTGGTTTATTACTGGTTTATTACTAGTTTACTGGTTTATTACTGGTTTACTGGTTTATTACTGGTTTATAACTTGTTTATTACTAGTTTACTGATTTATTACTGGTTTACTGGTTTATTACTGGTTTATTACTAGTTTACTGGTTTATTACTGGTTTATAACTGGTTTATTACTAGTTTACTGGTTTATTACTGGTTTATTACTGGTTTATTACTGGTTTATTACTAGTTTACTGGTTTATTACTGGTTTACTGGTTTATTACTGGTTTATAACTGGTTTATTACTAGTTTACTGATTTATTACTGGTTTACTGGTTTATTACTGGTTTATTACTAGTTTATAACTGGTTTATTACTAGTTTACTGGTTTATTACTGGTTTATTACTAGTTTACTGGTTTATTACTGGTTTACTGGTTTATTACTGGTTTATTACTGGTTTATTACTGGTTTACTGGTTTATTACTGGTTTATTACTGGTTTATTACTGGTTTACTGGTTTATTACTGGTTTACTGGTTTATTACTGGTTTACTGGTTTATTACTGGTTTTTTACTGGTTTATTACTGGTTTATTACTGGTTTAGTTTCTACTGTAACTCTCAGAAACTGGGATTAAAGGATGGTTTAAGTTAATCTGTTCATCATTGAAAGATAATTTCTCTACTAATATTTTTCTCATGTTATAAATGAAATGATCTGCCAATAGAACTCAGAATTTTTAATCAATATTAAAATCATTGACTTCAACCAGATGATTTTAATTTATTTAAGCGCATTGAGAAATTGGAACAGAATGAATCTATCTATGTTTCTATGAAAAGAATCTGAAGAGTGTGGTGTGCATTTAGAGTCGATACCTGAGGCCATCTGCCTGTCGTGTTCCTCCAGACCAGCGAGTCGAGCAGGGCAGCATCGCCGAGCTGAGCCCGGGCGCGGTGGGCGGGGCCGCCGCAGGAAGTGGCCGTGCGGAGCATCAGGCGGCCGTCAACAGCATGATGCTGGAGCGGATGAGCACCGACATCACGGCGCTGAAGAAGCAATATGGCCGCATCAAGCGGCGGCAGCAGCAGCAGGCCACGCGGCTCTGCATCCGCACAGGTGAGGCTGCGGCGCCATCCGGACGCCCCGACAGAAAGTCCAGATTTTAACCGCGCTGTGTGACTCGTAGGACCTGGACCCGGCCTCGCCACGAGTCCCGGGGTTCTGCAGGACAGTTCCAACAAACCCGGCAGCGGTTCTGACCCGGAGGCTCACGGTACTCGGGTCCAAACGGCAGAACGGCTGAGGCTGGTGGCGGGGTGACACTTTAGGAAACAGGAAGTGTTGGAGTGACTTCCTGTTTCTGTTCAGGAACTGGATCCTCATCCAAACGTTGATTTATTCCAGCAGAACAATAAAAATCTAAAAATGACTTCATGAAGAAGCTGCTCCATACACAGGCATGGAAAGTTGAGTGGAGGGAAGAAATGTGATAGAAAATAAACCTGAACAAACGTTTAGGACTGTGAAGCTTCCAGGCACGTTAGCTGCTGCTAACGGTACCAGTACCTGCTTTAATCACCATGGTAACGGTACCAGCAGGGTTGATTCTTGATCTGATATTTGGTTCTGATCCTCTGAACTCTCCAGAATCAACGAAACAGAATTTAACTTAAAGTCACTGAAATGAATCAACTTTTCGATGAAGTTCTGGTTGGTGGAGACGGACGTCGGTTCATCCTGGTCCTGGGTAAAAATGGCGAGTAGCAGAACCTCCTGGTTCTGATGGACCTTCAGTAGAGGCAGAAGTGTCTGACCCGGTTCTTCCTGCTTTAACTAATCACCTGCTAACATCCTTCCTCCAGCCGGTTCTGGGATCTGATTGGTCCTCCTGTGGCGCCCTCTGCTGGCTGCAGTCTGTTTTCACTCACTGCCATCTTTTCTTCTTCTTCTCCTCAGATAAATGTCCCGCCACGCGGGTTCTGGCCTCGCAGCTCAACCCGTCCAGCGCCGTCATCAACCATCTGCTGCTGGGCCGGAAGCCCCGCGGCCCTTCCAGAACCTTCCGGCCCGGGTCGGCCGGCCCGCCGGGACCGGGCCCGCCGGGACCGGGCTCGCCCTGCAGGCGGCGCCGCGGCTCCAGCAGCACCGGCTCCCCAGGAAGCCGCAGAGGCTCTCCGTGGCGGAACCACGCCCGGCAGCACCGCGGGAACCCGGGCCGGGTCCGAGCCCGGATCCGAGTTCCAGACACTGAGGAGAGGGAGGATGATGACGATGAAGAGGAAGGGGAGTCAGGATGTGAAGAGGAGGTGAAGGTGGAGGAAGTGGAGGTCCGGCTGGACTCCCTGGACCTGGAGAACCAAGCGACCCAGAACTCCCTCACCGACCCAGAACCAGAACCTGATGAAGAGGCGAGCAGAGCTGCACCTCCAGACTCAGACCGACCCGGAGAGCCGAACTCAGCCGGTTCTGATGGACCTGCTGCAGAACCTTCAACATCATCTTCCTCCCCCGGTCCTCCTCTTCCTCCCTCCTCTTCCTCCCCCGGTCCTCCTCTTCCTCCCTCCTCTTCCTCGGCTCCCCGCCAGCCTCTCTTCTCTCCGTTTCCGTCCATCAAGCAGCCCAGGAAGTCTCTGGCGGCTCGGAACCTGGGCCTTTACGGGCCGACATCCAGAACCCCTACAGTCCACTTCCCTCAGCTGAGCCGCAGCCTGAACCGGAGCAGCGCCGCCGGGGCAACGGGCCGGCGGTGAAGAGCTCAGCGGGTCGGAACCGGGCTCCAGTATTCCCCGGTTTGCACTACAGCCATAAAGCGTTTCTATGCCAAGTATTTATCTACACAGGATGGATGGAGACATGAAAGCATCCTGACCCGACGTCCTCCAGAACCTTCTGCTTGTTTTCTATCACTGTTCTGGTTCTGTAGAAACCCAGAATGTACTGCCTCCATCTGTCGTAATGAAAGAATGAAAGGAAACATTCAGCTGTGGCTCGTTTCTTCTGCTCTCAAAGATCTGAACCAGTTCTCTGACCTCAGATTAAACAAATTTCTCCTTCCACTAAGCTTTCCATTAATATAGTTGGATCCAGCCCTCTGAACTTTAACATCCTGCGCTTCATCTTCAGCCAACCATTTTGATGGAAAGCTTACTGGAAAGAAAAAGCGATAGAATAAGTTGACATCTGAAGCAAAGGATCCAGAATCCAATCAAGTTTTCATGTCTGAGACACAAATTTCCAGACGACTCTATTATGCATCTTTACCATATATAAATACTAAAGATTACAATTTCTATAATATGTAGCTTGTAGAGTGGATGGAGATGATTGGGATATGGAATAAAATCTGGAAAATAGCTGAATTTACTTCTGTTCTTTTCCAGATTCTGTTCAGTAAAGACAGTAAACACCTGATGGATCCGGTCAGACCTTCAGCTTCATCCGTTTCTATTATTGTGTAGGAAATGATCCAATTACTTCCTGTTTAGGACAGGCAGAACCACTCAAACATTTAAAAACAAACCTACTTTATTAATATTAATATACAGGATCTGTATATTCCACATGACTACAGTACAGCTCACTTATTTACATCCAAATTCATCACATGTAAGTTTTATTTACACATTATGAGGAACCAGAAATCCCCCTGAGACCCAGCGGAGAAAACTGACATGCTTTCATGAACATAAACAAACAGGAATAAACTTTTAAATTGAGGCATCAGCACCATATTCAGGCTCTTATTTTACTTTTAGAGGTATTTATTTCCTGTAACTGTGGTTCAATGTGATCCTTAAGGTCCAGTAAACCAGCTGAAGGAGAGTTGCTAATGCAGAGTGACTCAGTTAGCTAATGCTAATGCAGAGTGACTCAGTTAGCTAATGCTAATGCAGAGTGACTCAGTTAGCTAATGCTAATGCAGAGTGACTCAGTTAGCTAATGCTAATTGAGAAGATAGAAATATAGTAGCGGCCGCTAGCAGCATCTGAGTATCAGACTTCAACGTGTTACTGTCAATAATTAATGACGGATTTTAACGTGTTTAATATATTAGCCGCCTTTTAATTTTTTTAACATACGAAGGATCCGGCGACAGCACGTTTCTGGTACGCCCATAAATCTGACGCACAAGCGATATCCGCTAACAGCGACGGACGACAAAGCCGCTTCTCTCGGCTCTTCGGCGGTTAATTTCAGTTTCAAGCCAACATGATGGGACGTTGGAGATTACTGTTGTGTTCAAATTGTGCTAAAGGGAGTTAGCCTAAAGTAGCATTTCAATGCTAAACATGTAGCAGCAGTTCAGATAATAACGTCAGCTTCTTTGTTTCTACAGAATTATTTTTTTGTAATTAATTCCATATATCAGTTGAAAGCCAAATGGCTGGAACAGCACTTTGCTTCAATCTGATGGTTTAATAACCTAAAGAGATTACAAAAAATATATTTGTTTTTGAGGCTGTATGTCTATTTATTAATAAATCAGCAGCAGAAATTGCTTTTGAAATAAGAATGTTGCTGATTTGGTAGATATGTGTGTAATTAAATGTGATTAATTACAGACTGTGCTGTAATTTGATTAAACATTTTTCAAGTCCCGCTAATTTACTCACTTTTTGAACGTCTTGTGTTAAATCAGAAATATTTGTCTCCATGTAAATTGTCTGGAACATTGATGTCGACTCCTGTTCTGAATCAGGCCTGCTACTTTAGCTTCAACACACCTGAATTCAGAGAGGAATGTGGTGCAGCTGGAGGAACATCAGTTCAAATGAACAGACCGCTCTCCCTGAGGAAAACATGAAACCCATAAATAAATGAGTAATTAAAGCCTTCAGCATTCTGAGGCGGTCTGGAAAACAAATGCATTGAGATTTATAAGTCCATAAACAGTTTTAATGAGGAGAAAATGCATCTGGGTCTCAGGAGGATCACAGTTAGCAGGAACCTCAGAACAAACCAGACCTGCCAGGTTCCACAGTCCAGTCCCAGTGGGGTTGACCGGTTCACCTTCGTTGGCATACAGAGGGTGGCGATTTAGTTTGACTCGGTTTCAGTCAGTGGTGGTGTTTTGGGTCAGCGGGCGGCGATGCGGGCCATCCCTGGGTGTTTTGGGTCAGCGGGTGGCGATGCGGGCCATCCCTGGGTGTTTTGGGTCAGCGGGTGGCGATGCGGGCCATCCCTGGGTGTTTTGGGTCAGCGGGCGGCGATGCGGGCCATCCCTGGGTGTTTTGGATCAGCGGTGGCGATGCGGGCCATCCCTGGGTGTTTTGGGTCAGCGGGCGGCGATGCGGGCCATCCCTGGGTGTTTTGGGTCAGCGGGCGGCGATGCGGGCCATCCCTGGGTTGACGAAGGAGAAGTTCTTGAACATGGTCTGGTCCACGCTGTTGATGAGCGTCCGGTCGGCACACGACAGCTTCGGCTTCTCGTTGATGAACTCTTTGTCAAAGTTGCTGCAGTCGCTTGGTGACGTCTGAGAAAATGAAGGGAAAGATTTTCTTACATGCTAAAACTGGTTTCCTGTTTGCATCACCAACTGGTCTGAGTAAAGACTTGGACATCCATCCATCCATCCATCGGTCATCGGAGGAGAAGCCAGGTCCTCCTCTTTCATCGTTAAGCTTCTCTGTTTCTCAGCAGAAACCAAAATACAACAATCTGTTGCTATATGAAAACAGGAGTACCTCAAGGCTCTGATCTGAGATCACTCTTTTTAGTTTAAATGTTTCAGATGTAATCAGATCATTTTTATATCTGAAGCTTCTGAAGATATTTTTCTTTCTGTAGCAACATAAATGATGTCAAGTCCATAAACAGATTGAATGAGGAGAAAATGGATCTGGGTCTCAGGAGGATCACAGTTAGCAGGAACCTGCTAACTGTTCAACAATGTATCAAAAATAGATACATTGAAAAATGTATCTATTTTTGAGTCATTAAGACATGAGTTCTAAACAAAACAAACTAATAGTTCAGATAAAATAACCCCCATTACACCTGAATGTTCCCTCCATAATATAATAAATAATACCTCCAAGCACCTGGAGCTGCGTTTTAACTTACCAGCGTGGGCCTGAAGGGCGGCGCCACCTGTCGCTGCTCCAGGGCGCTCCAGTCCATGCTGCTGAAGAAGCCGTGCTGCCGGATGCTTCCCTTCACTCCCAGTCGTTCCTCCGGCTCTCGGACAAACAGCTGGAGAAAACCAGGTCGCCATTACGACCGGACAGATTTACCAACAAAACCAGAAAGTCTGATTATTCATCGGAAAAGGTTTAATTAGCATTCTCTCTGTCAGAACAGAACTTCCTGTATAAGCAGGTCTTCCAACAGAATTCAGCATTTTATAATACAGGTAAGATAAACACCTGGATGTTTAGTTTTAGAAAGACAGTTTGGTTTAATTTCTGTAGAAAATTGAACTGTAAATAAAAGTTTGGGAGAAAATTGGACTTCAGCTCCAGGAAGATGGATCTGGACTGAAACAGAAGTAAAGCAGGAAAGAAGAAACCGAAGATGTTTTCAGAACATGCTAGCATGCTTGGGCTTAGCATGTTCTCTTAGACAGACTGGACTGGTTCCGGTGGTCTGAGTCTCACCTTGACCAGAATGTCTCTGGCCGTCTTGGTGAGCCAGCTGGGATAGACGGGCGAGTCGGTCCGGATGGACTGGAAGAGCTCCTCCTCGTCGCGGCCGTGGAACGGCGACTGACCGATCAGCATCTCGTAGAGCAGAACCCCGAAGGACCACCAGTCCACCGAGCTGTTGTACCTCTGGCCCAGCAGGATCTGTCGGCACGGCAACAAGCATCAGCCTCACACACCAACCAGAACCCCTGACCCAAACCCGCGGCCGCTCACCTCTGGGGCGATGTAGTCTGGCGTCCCGCAGAAGGTGGAGGTCCGTAGGTCGTCCTGCATGTTCTCCTTACACATGCCGAAGTCGGCGATCTTGATGTGTCCGTCCGAGTCCAGCAGGACGTTGTCCAGCTTCAGGTCTCTGCAGGGGAGAAGCGCAGAGTCAGCCTGCTGTCTGAGGCTCACACTGCAGCACAACGCTGCAGCACAACGCTGCAGCACAACGCTGCAGCACAACGCCGCAGCACCACACACCACGCCGCAGCACAACGCCACCTGTAGATGATTCCCTTGGAGTGCAGGAACTGGAGGCCGCAGACGATCTCGGCTGCGTAGAACCTGCAGGACGAAAAGCAGATCAGATTAATTCAACAGAAGGAGATTTCATTGTTTCTGGGCTCCACCACTAAAACACTCATCATACAGCAGGAACCATTCAAATATGACATAAATAGCAATAAAATCCAGTTAATAAAGATGTTGTTCAATTCATAAAATATACAATAATTAACCATTCCAGGACATTGCTCCTAAAAGTTTTCTTTTTAAAAATGAACTTTTGTCCAGCTTTACTCTGAGCTGGAGGTAAAATGTTTTATTGCTCTGTAAGTAAGAGAAACGTCTGGCGGTGAATCCGTGCTAATTTAAAATGTTTCCCAACTAAAAAACTTTTTCATGCTGAGAACAGCAGCGAAGCCATCATGAACCATCATGAACTTTTATTATCATTAATGATATCATCAAACTTATAGAACAAAAACTGCTGTTTTAAAATTATATTTGAATTTATTAACTGACAAAGTAATCATCTCAACCGAGTGAGAACCAGAACCGAAACCTCAGTTTGATAAAACTGAAGCTGATTACTTTTCAGCGTTGAAATCCTTTTTGTTTTTATTCAGATCTTAATGTTTGTGGATCTGGAACACTGAACTGTGACTGCAGACATTTTCCAGGGTGTAAATACTTTTCCCAGCTCGGTGGCCGCGGCAGCAGGAAGACCTACGTGGCTCTGTGCAGGTCGAACTTGTGGCAGGTCTGGATGTGGAACATGAGATCTCCTCCGTTCAGATACTCCATCACGAAGAAGAGGTTCTCCTGGAGAAAACCAAAATGGCATCATGAGAAACTGAGTCACATGAAGGAGAAACAGCTGGACTGCATTTCTAATTTGAGGCAGCTGTAAGGAGATAAAACAAAGACTGAGACTTTACTGTATGCAGTTCAACATGACGGGATTATCAGACTTTCAGCTGCTTCCATTCACTACTGCCTGGTTCTGCTTGTTTAAGAATGAATCAGGATTAAGCAGATTTAAATCTGTTCTGTCAAGAACCTTGGGCTGATATTTCCAGTTCAGAACCGGAACCACATCAGAGACCAGATCGTCTCTCTTCATGTCTGACCCTTTTATATTTCAGATCCAAACAAGATGCAAACAACCAGGCACACAAAAAACAGAAAAATACACTGGAACTGCAGGAAACAGAACCTACAATTCAATTCTACATTTAATTGCAACACTTTATTGAGAAATTAAAAGAAAATCATAATCATATCAATTTAAAAAGCAAACCAAAAATTCCGTAATAAATAATCAAAATGCTGGAGCCACAGGAAATGGGAGCAAAGGGAAAAACAAAACAACCGCAAGAGTGAAACTCGCTCCAAGTCCTCCAGACCACCAGGGGGCATCCACCAACACACTGGGACCAGTCGCTCAGCGAGGACTTGGAGGAAGAACTTCATATCTTTTTCAAATCGTTTTTTCAGCTGCATTTTTCCATAGGCGATATGATTTACTCCTGACTCCCCCTGGTGGCCTGGAGGACCTCCACCTTGAGGAGCGAGTTGCAGCTTTTCATACTTCCTGTTGTTTGTGCAGCTCTGACACCTCTAGCTTGTGTTTCCTGTTTGCAGCTGGTTTGCAGCAGTCAGAACCGGCAGCGCCTCGCGCGGTCTGCGGTCATCACCTTGGTCTGGAAGGTGCAGTACAGGTGTGTGAGGAACGGGTTCTCCCAGGCCAGAGACAGAACCCTCCTCTCCACCAGCGTACACTCCACGTCGTCGTCCATCAGCACCACGTCCTTCTTCAGAGCCTTCACTGCGAAAAACTTCCCGCTCCTCTTCAGCTCGGCCAGAAACACCTGGAACCACAGGAAGACGGGTCTGAGGTTCTGCACAACTCTGGACGGGTCCGCCTCCACCTGCTGACCAGGTGACATGTTTCCGTGGAAACAGGCCACCTGCTGACCAGGTGACATGTTTCCGTGGAAACAGGCCTGACCACAAGCCTGGCTGACGTGTCAATGAGTCAAAGTGTGACAGAGCCGCTGAAGCTGGCGGCGCCGCACCTTCCCAAAGCTTCCTTTGCCCAGCATCTTGTGCAGGACGAAGTCGTCGATGGTGAACTTCTGCTGATGGTCCTTCTTTGGGACGGCGTACAGCGGCTCCTCCGGGGCCGCCTCGGGGCCCGGCCTGCTCACCTCGGTCGGCCCCTCCCACAAAACGCCCGTCGGATCTGCCGGCGAACGGAAACCTCCGGTGAGACGTTCGCGAGCGGAGGAGGAGGTGATGACGTCAGCGGCGGCGTACCTTTGCTCGCAGGCGGCGATGTGACGGGCAGAGCCGGTACCAACCCGGACGGCGCGCGCATCACACCCGGCTGGCCCACGCCCACCGGACCTTCTCGACCCGTGACGTCACCGTCTTTAGTACTCCTCGCCTTCAGAGGGAAAATAAAACCCAACAGATCAATAAATTAGACAATCAAAAATTATTTTGTTTTACTTTCAAATTACTGGAAACTAAACGTTGTCATTAAAAACAGAACCGGTATCAGCAAGTGAATAAATATTTCGCTTTGATAGTCAACTGAGCTTGTTAGCTAAATATTTAATTTGTAAACTAAATATTTAGCTACTTCAGAGCTAATCAGTATTTAGCTCTAGAGCTCAGCGTTCAGTTTGGAGCTGAATATTTGGCTCCTAATCAGACAGTTGAGACTGAACCAATAAATAACAGTGAAAAATATGTGAATAACCAAAATTATTGTTGTTAATTATTGACTGTAAATTTACAACACGGAAAAATGTTTGGAGAAAATTTGCAATTTTCATTCATTCAATTTTTTCCCCTCTAGCAGAAATATTGTGGATTGTTACTGTTTGTTCCAAATTAAATAATTGGCAAATAATGAATTTGCTTCACAGAGTAAATCTTAATTCTGAGACGTCGAGGAAAGGATCCGGCCGGCAGAAGAGATTTATTTTACAGCCAAATGAACAGATTTTTATGTATGATGATTACATTTAAAGAAGTGTAAAAATAAACAATTGGGTTTCTGAAGAAACTTTGATCAGCACACAGGATCATGACTCATGAAACCGTTTCTGTTATAAGGAAATCTGACTCATCATGAGACGGTTTTGCAGCCTGTGAGGCGTTCCCTTCCCGTAGGAGTCGGGTCGATTCTGCCGCTTCGGCTGCCATAGAAAATGCAACTGAACATTTTCAGATTAAATGCTGGTCAGAACCTCAAAGTAAAGCAAAAATTGTTACCGGACAACACAGCTGCTGGGTTTGACGGAGTATCAGAAGGAAAATAAAATGACTTTGGAGGAACACATTTCCATCAAAAACAAAATGTCTAGATTAAGTGCATGTGTACAAGAAAACAAGAACAATTTTCCATGGTTAAAACTCGAATATTTCACAGTTCGTCAGAAATATGTGGATAAAAACAGCAGAAGAGCTGAAAGAGGCCAGTGGTGCATTCAGGAATGGTTTAAAACTGGGATCTTTTTCTGGATCCGCTCACATTCTGGAAAATATTAATTTTCTCTAAGCATTTAAGGGTTTTCCTCTTTGAGATGTCAGAATTTATAACATCAGGGAGCTTTAATATTTATGCCTTTATGAAATGATCATCTTGAGAAGGTTTCAACGAGGGAATATCTGCAGACGTCCTGACCTGCTGCTGGCTCTCGATGACGGCCAGAGCTTCAGCCATCAGCTTCTGGTTGACGCCGCAGAGGTTCGCCACCTTCTTCTGGCATTTATGGTGAACATTCATGCTGCACTCTGCACATAAAACAGAAAAATCACATCAATTACAGTTTGATTTTGTTTCATATTACAATCAATCATAATGCTGAAATCTCTGCAAACTAAATTTGTCTTAAAGTGTTAAAATGATGCAGTTTAAATGATGCAGCTGCTGGATCATATTTCTGATGGCAGCATCTCCAGCAGCAGCTGCACATGATGCAACGCCGAGGCATAAATCATGATAATTCCTCCTGCTGCACATGAAATTATCTTTATGGGTTTGGAAAATAAGCCTCTTATGTTACATAAAGCATCTGAAACATCATCTGGTTTGTTGTGGGAAACATTTTATGTTCCTGAATTTCATTCAGTTCATACAACTAATGTCCAATAACTGTTAAAATCTACAGCAGTCGAAGATTCCCAGTCTGAGATACAAACTGGGAACAGTCAAATCGACTGGCCTGCCTACGGAGGAACATCTGTGACAGAATTAACGACAGCTGGTAGTTAATATGGAACAAAGAAATAAAGGAACAGGGATTCAGGCTGGAGCGGATGGTGAAGAAGAGAATGACAAAGTGGAAAATACAGCCGGAGACATTATGGGACAGTTTATATCACAGCTGATTCAGGTTTTAGAATGGCTTAGTCAAAGTCCACCCTGAATCCAGCTGAGAATCAGTGGGAAGATTTGAAAGTTTAGCTGTCCTGATGCTAATCGAAGAGTGGCGGCCATGTTTAGCCGTCTTGATGCTAATCGAAGAGTGGCGGCCATGTTTAGCCGTCTTGATGCTAATCAAAGCGTGGCAGCCATGTTTAGCCGTCTTGATGCTAATCAAAGCGTGGCAGCCATGTTTAGCCGTCTTGATGCTAATCAAAGCGTGGCAGCCATGTTTAGCCGTCTTGATGCTAATCAAAGCGTGGCGGCCATGTTTAGCCGTCTTGATGCTAATTGAAGCGTGGCGGCCATGTTTAGCCGTCTTGATGCTAATCAAAGCGTGGCGGCCATGTTTAGCTGTCCTGATGCTAATCAAAGTGTGGCGGCCATGTGTTTAGCCGTCCTGATGCTAATCGAAGCGTGGCGGCCATGTTTAGCCGTCTTGATGCTAATCAAAGCATGGCGGCCATGTTTAGCCGTCCTGATGCTAATCGAAGCGTGGCGGCCATGTTTAGCCGTCTTGATGCTAATCGAAGCGTGGCGGCCATGTTTAGCCGTCTTGATGCTAATCGAAGCGTGGCGGCCATGTTTAGCCGTCTTGATGCTAATCGAAGCGTGGCGGCCATGTTTAGCCGTCTTGATGCTAATCAAAGCGTGGCGGCCATGTTTAGCTGTCCTGATGCTAATCAAAGTGTGGCGGCCATGTTTAGCCGTCCTGATGCTAATCGAAGAGTGCGGGCCATGTTTAGCCGTCTTGATGCTAATCAAAGCGTGGCGGCCATGTTTAGCCGTCCTGATGCTAATCGAAGCGTGGCGGCCATGTTTAGCCGTCTTGATGCTAATCGAAGTGTGGCGGCCATGTTTAGCCGTCTTGATGCTAATCGAAGCGTGGCGGCCATGTTTAGCCGTCTTGATGCTAATCGAAGTGTGGCGGCCATGTTTAGCCGTCTTGATGCTAATCGAAGTGTGGCGGCCATGGTTAGCCGTGTGCAGGCGGCGTCTCACCCTCACATTTCAGCCCCTGCTTGGCCAGACCCCACAGCAGGGTGCCGCAGTGCTGGCAGAAGGTGGGGCTCTTGTAGTTGTACACCTTGAAGCGGTGCGGCATGTCGATCTTGAAGCGCTCCTTATGGATCTGCAGAGTCAGAATGCAGCTTGACACAAACGGCCAAAAACCAGAACCCGAACAGAACCAGAACCAGAACTGGTATAAACTCACCATAGTCTCCTTGCTGTTCACCGCCGACCCGGTGCATTTGGCGATGACCTTGTCGATACATTTCTTGTGGATGGCAGCGTTGCATTCTGGGAGACACACAGAGACAAGAGGGACAGAGACATGGAGGACACCGCCACAGGATGGCCGTCTCCTGATGCATCATGGGAAACACGGAGACTCACGTCTGCACTGGTAGCCCTGCTTGTTCAGACCCCTGCAGAGCAGAAAGAGCGCCGAGTCAGGAACCGGTTTGGTCTGGGTCGGTCCAGTCGGGTCGAATCGGGTCAGCCAGATTGGGCTGGTTCCGGTCGGTTCTTACCAGACAAACTCTTTGCAGACGGAGCAGAAGGTGGGCTGAGGGAAGAAGGTGGCGCTGAACTCGTGACACTTCACTACGTGAACTTTGGCCTGCTTGATGGCGCCGCGCCGCTGGTGCAGGGTGAACAGGCCGTCTCTGCCGTGCTCCGAGTCCGGGTCGGCGCCGGCCTGACCCGCAGCGTCTGAAACACACCAGCACGCGACCCCGTGACCCTTAGGGTCTAAGCACACCAGCACACGACCCCGTGACCCCTAGGGTCTAAACACACCAGCACATGACCCCGTGACCCCTGGGGTCTAAACACACCAGCACATGACCCCGTGACCCCTGGGGTCTAAACACACCAGCACATGACCCCGTGACCCCTAGGGTCTAAGCACACCAGCACGCGACCCCGTGACCCCTAGGGTCTAAACACACCAGCACGCGACCCCGTGACCCCTAGGGTCTAAACACACCAGCACATGACCCCGTGACCCCTGGGGTCTAAACACACCAGCACATGACCCCGTGACCCCTAGGGTCTAAACACACCAGCACATGACCCCGTGACCCCTAGGGTCTAAACACACCAGCACGCGACCCGTGACCCCTAGGGTCTAAACACACCAGCACGCGACCCCGTGACCCCTAGGGTCTAAACACACCAGCACATGACCCCGTGACCTGTAGAGTCTAAACACACCCTAGGGGTCACCGTTAAATTTTGAGATTAATCTTAGAAATTTTCTGGTTTTATTTTAGAACATTTCTAAGTTTAAAAAGTCAAATATTTCCACCGAAAAATATTTTTAGACAAAAATTTTTCAAGGAAAAGTCAAATATTTCATCTTTTGATTCTGAAATAAATTTTAAAAATTCTGACTTTTTGGGCAGAAATGGACTGTTTTTGTTTTGACCTTCATACGCTGCTGCAGCTGGATTAAACCAGGAAGTGGTTTTGAACTCTAACCTGGATTCTGCTTTTGAAAAGATTAAATATTTTTTCCAGTTTATAAAATAATCAGCAAAATGGATGAATTTCATTCAACAAGAAACGACAATTAGAAGTTTTGCGTCTATGCTTCTGTCTATTAAACATTTACTCTGCTTACTAAATATTGCAGTAGTGAAGATTTCTGCTGGTGGAGTTACTGATGGGACACTCACCGCTCTTCTCCAGGTAGTACCGGGCCTCCATCAGCAGGCGGCCCTGCGGCTTCATCTCCAGCTGAAACACAAAACCAGCACAAATAAAACCTTCCATCTGCAGAACAAACGGCCTGCAGGATTTTATTTAGTTTCTGTTTGTTTGGGAAGGAAACGCTTGGCAGAAAATCTCCGATCTCAGCCGGAGATAAAAACTCATTTAACTTTTGATAAGTAGAAAATGTGTCTGACAATGTGAAGCAAAAAGTTTATATTTCTCTGATTTTTCTTAGTTTCCAGGTTTTATATGACTAAATTATAACTGAAATAAATTCTCCTTTAATTCAACCATTAAATTAATGAAAACCTGAAACTTTATCAGCTCAATTACATCATTTCCTTTTAAATTAATCCTCATTTTGGTCATATTTAGGTCATTGATATTCTTAAAGGGCCGGTTGTAGCAGAGTGCATTGATAACAGTTAAAACCTGTAAAAATTTTCTCTGCATTTATACTTCTTATTAACACATATATTAAATTCTTATAAAAATTCTTCATATGTCAATATGACTGAAATTAAATTTTATTTCCTGATTTGACCTCTTGAAATTGAGCCTCTGTCTCTTTAAGAGCTCCTGGTCTTTCTGAAGCTCCGCCTCCAGGAAGTCATCCCAACATGGCTCCTCTATTAACCCTTTAGTGTTTTTACCTGCGTTGCTCTGAGCAGCAGCTACTAATGAGCTCAGCAGCTGTTTGCTAATTGCTGCTGGCTAGTCTGAAGGAGCTCAATGGAGGAAAAACTGCATCTCGAAGGCGGGGCTAGGCCCATCCAGATGTTTAGCAGCAGAATGGTTGCCATGGAGATTAAAGGAAATCTCCGGTTTGTTTATGATGGAGAACAGAGCATGATGCAATAAGCCCATTTTAGATGTAACCGGCCCTTTAAGGCTCAGTCTCTGCGGCCCTCTGGACATTAAAGACAAACCAGCAGCTTTAATCAATCGATCAAAACATTAATCAACATTCTGAGCATCCTCTGACCAGTCTGGTCCGGTTCGACCCGATGCGGTTCTGCTCCACCCACCCAGATCTCCAGCTTGCCGTTCTCCTTCTTGCAGCGCGTGGCCAGAGAGTCCAGCGCCACGGTGGCCTCGGACCGCAGCTCGGCCGTCCGGTCCTTCACCATGACGTGCATGATGCGGCCGCGGTGGACGTGGGCGTCGAACGTGGAGCTCCACGGCGGGTACATGGTGGGCTTCTTCTGCTTGTACACCTGGCCCTTCTCTGCACACACACACACACACACACACACACACACACACACACACACACACACACACACGCGCACACACACACGCGCGCACGCGCGCACACACACACGCACGCGCGCACGCGCACACACACACACACACAGACCCGCGCACACACACACACACACGCGCACGCACACACACACGCACACGCACGCAAACGCACACACACACGCACACACACACACACACACACACGCGCACACACACACACACACGCGCACGCACACACACACACACACACACACGCACACACACACACGCACACACACACACACACGCACACACACGCACACGCACACCCACACACACACACACACACACACACGCACACACACACGCACACGCGCACACACACACACACGCGCATACACACACACACGCACACGCACATGCACACGTGCACACACACACGCGCACAAACACACACACACATTTTTGTTTGTCCTTTATGTTGTTTGTATTTCCTCTACTTTATGTAAAGCGTTTCTAATTCCCCCGTTGCTGAAAATGTGATATATAAATAAAATTTCCTTCCTTTTTATTAAAAGCTTCCACACAGAGAAACTAACTAGACCTGAAACGATTAATCTGATCAATCAATATCATCTAGTGTAGCCATTGATTAACTGGAGAAAACAAACTCAGAGCCATAATTCAGCTAAAACATTTATACACTTTGAATTCAAGACAAAAAGATTTTAAAAACTGCATCGTTTTCTATCCAGGTATTGATCTGTGAATCCAGAAAAATCAACCTGATTTTTTAATTTATTTTATATTTTTGTTTTGGTTTTATTACTGATCTGAGTTTTTAAAAAACAAATTGATTTTTGTTTACTACAGTTAATGATTAATTAATAGCTAAATTAGTAGATTATTCCAATAATCAATTAATGGTTATTAATTGGACTACAAATCTACATGCTGCATTGAAACTGGGTCAGTTATTGCCAGACTAATTAGCCAAAATGTTTCCAGTAAAACCCGTTAAACTATCAGTTTCCACTGGGCCTGCAGCAGAACGTGGCAGCCGTCTCTGGGCCCGGAACCCGGCCCGTTCTGGTTCTGTGCAGCCAGACAAGCCAGCATGCTGTCAGAGTGACATGCAAACCAGTTCCTGTGTGAACTGCTAAAACAAAAAGGTGACGCTCAGAAAACGCTGACTTCCTGTCGCTTGCCCTCCTGCTGCTTCTGAGTCAGAACCGGTTCCGTCTGAAATGACGGGTTTTCTGTCAACCAGAAAACTCAACGTACCGCCTCAGTTTTACTTCCATATTTATCATCTTCATACATGATTCCTAGTATGGAAACAGCAGATATGACAGAAAGTATGATGAAGGTCAAAAATACTGAGAAACTTTACTGGACCTGGTCAGTGCCAGCGACACCGTTACCGTGACATCACATTAATGATTGGACCTGTTGAGTTCATTACTTTTCTTTGAAAATTAACATAAGTCGGGAAACTGCTTGAAAATGATAAAAAAGTAAGAAAAGGTAAACAAACGTTTCCTACAGAAGGCAGACATTTTTAACTCCGCCCCCGATGACATGTTCAGTCAGCGATCAGCTGATTCTCACATGAAACCAATAAATAACTGCAGTTGGGCTGGAAATGATGACTGAACATGATGTCATTTCCTGTAAACTGACAGGAAATCACAAGATTTCTATTTAGACTCTCAGCAAAAATATTGATGATAGTTATTATGGAGAAACTTTATGGGTCTTTAATGATCAATGGCTGAAAAGTCAGATTTTAATGCCGTTAAATGATTGAAAACAATCATTTCCTCCTGGGACTTGAACTACGCCGTTCTTCTTCTCCGTTCAGTTCCCAAAGTGAAATGAAACCGATGGTCTGCTCTCCGTCAGCGGCAGAAATAAAACGTTTGGCTGCGGTTCCACAGAAACAGGCGAAGCTTCGACTCCAGCTTCACTCAGCACAGTTTCAAGATGGCCGACGCAGCCGGGATGACATCACCCGTGAGCCGCCGACCGAAGCAGAGCACGTTCAAAACTAAGTACACCCCAGTCAGCTGATCAGTCTAAACCAGAGACGCAGAGACTGGAAGGGTCAAAGGTCATCTCCAAACCACCTGGACCCATCATTCTCCAGAGGGGAAAACGTTCCCAGACTCCATTGGAACCAGTTAGCAGGTCAAAGGTCAAGACTCGGGAAGCCTCTTCCCTCTGGAAACAAGATGGCTGCCGGAGTGAGGTGATTCTAGAGTCCAAACCAGGTCACCAAAGAACCGGGACCAAGGTCCTCTATGGCCTAGTCAAAGTTCCTGCAGGCCAAAATGACTCCAGAATGAAATGAAACATTGATAAAGACTTTTCACTGAATCCTGGGTGTACTTACTTTTTATCTTTATCTTTATTTAATAAGTGAACCAGATTGTTATTTTCAAACAAATTTAGAACCTGGATAAAAACAGCAGGAATATTTACTTTAGAGTTCATTTATTTTAGGGTTAATTAACTTTAGGGTGTATTTACTTTAGGATGTATTTACTTTAGGATGTATTTACTTTAGGGAGTATTTACTTTAGGATGTATTTACTTTAGGATGTATTTACTTTAGGATGTATTTACTTTAGGGTGTATTTACTTTAGGATGTATTTACTTTAGGATGTATTTACTTTAGGATGTATTTACTTTAGGATGTATTACTTTAGGGTGTATTACTTTAGATGTATTTACTTTAGGATGTATTTACTTTAGGGTGTATTTACTTTAGGATGTATTTACTTTAGGATGTATTTACTTTAGGGTGTATTTACTTTAGGGTGTATTTACTTTAGGTTATTAACTTTATGATTATTTACTTTAGGGTGTTTTTACTTTAGGATGTATTTACTTTAGGGTGTATTTACTTTAGGATGTATTTACTTTAGGGTGTATTTACTTTAGGGTGTATTTACTTTAGGATGTATTTACTTTAGGATGTATTTACTTTAGGATGTATTTACTTTAGGGTGTATTTACTTTAGGATGTATTTACTTTAGGGTGTATTTACTTTAGGATGTATTTACTTTAGGGTGTTTTTACTTTAGATGTATTTACTTTAGGATGTATTTACTTTAGGGTGTATTTACTTTAGGATGTATTTACTTTAGGGTGTATTTACTTTAGGATGTATTTACTTTAGGATGTATTTACTTTAGGGTGTATTTACTTTAGGATGTATTTACTTTAGGGTGTATTTACTTTAGGATGTATTTACTTTAGGGTGTATTTACTTTAGGTGTATTTACTTTAGGGTGTATTTACTTTAGGATGTATTTACTTTAGGGTGTATTTACTTTAGGATGTATTTACTTTAGGGTGTATTTACTTTAGGATGTATTTACTTTAGGGTGTATTTACTTTAGGGTGTATTTACTTTAGGATGTATTTACTTTAGGATGTATTTACTTTAGGGTGTATTTACTTTAGGGTGTATTTACTTTAGGATGTATTAACTTTAGGGTGTATTAACTTTAGGGTGTATTTACTTTAGGATGTATTTACTTTAGGGTGTATTACTTTAGGGTGTTTTTACTTTAGGATGTATTTACTTTAGGGTGTATTAACTTTAGGTGTATTTACTTTAGGATGTATTTACTTTAGGGTGTTTTACTTTAGGATGTATTTACTTTAGGATGTATTTACTTTAGGGTGTTTTTACTTTAGGATGTATTTACTTTAGGGTATTACTTTAGGGTGTATTTACTTTAGGATGTATTTACTTTAGGATGTATTTACTTTAGGATGTATTTACTTTAGGGTGTATTTACTTTAGGATGTATTTACTTTAGGATGTATTTACTTAGGGTGTTTTTACTTTAGGATGTATTTACTTTAGGTGTATTTACTTTAGGGTGTATTTACTTTAGGATGTATTTACTTTAGGGTGTATTTACTTTAGGGTGTATTTACTTTAGGATGTATTTACTTTAGGGTGTATTTACTTTAGGATGTATTTACTTTAGGGTGTTATTTACTTTAGGATGTATTTACTTAGGGTGTATTTAATTTAGGGTGTATTTACTTTAGGATGTATTTACTTTAGGATGTATTTACTTTAGGGTGTATTTACTTTAGGGTGTATTTACTTTAGGATGTATTTACTTTAGGGTGTATTAACTTTAGGGTGTATTTACTTTAGGATGTATTTACTTTAGGGTGTATTTACTTTAGGGTGTATTTACTTTAGGATGTATTTACTTTAGGGTGTATTAACTTTAGGGTGTATTTACTTTAGGATGTATTTACTTTAGGGTGTTTTACTTTAGGATGTATTTACTTTAGGATGTATTTACTTTAGGGTGTATTTACTTTAGGATGTATTTACTTTAGGGTGTATTTACTTTAGGGTGTATTTACTTTAGGATGTATTTACTTTAGGATGTATTTACTTTAGGATGTATTTACTTTAGGGTGTATTTACTTTAGGATGTATTTACTTTAGCTGTATTTACTTTAGGATGTATTTACTTTAGGATGTATTTACTTTAGGATGTATTTACTTTAGGGTGTATTTACTTTAGGATGTATTTACTTTAGGGTGTATTTACTTTAGGGTGTATTTACTTTAGGGTGTATTTACTTTAGGGTGTATTTACTTTAGGGTGTATTTACTTTAGGATGTATTTACTTTAGGGTGTATTTACTTTAGGATGTATTTACTTTAGGGTGTATTTACTTTAGGATGTATTACTTTAGGGTGTATTTAATTTAGGGTGTATTTACTTTAGGATGTATTTACTTAGGATGTATTTACTTAGGGTGTATTTACTTTAGGGTGTATTTACTTTAGGATATATTAACTTTAGGGTATTAACTTAGGTGTATTTACTTTAGGATGTATTTACTTTAGGGTGTATTTACTTTAGGATGTATTACTTTAGGGTGTATTTACTTTAGGATATATTAACTTTAGGGTGTATTAACTTTAGGGTGTATTTACTTTAGGATGTATTTA